ATTCCACTTGGCTGACCAAAAGAAAATTCAGATTGGGTTAATCTGGGCAGAAGATAGAAATGAAAGGTTTGGCAACAATATTTTGAGTGCAATGTTAACGTACCAATAGTCCAAAGGAAACCAAGGGATAGATATATAGACAGTTAAATGGCAGTAATAAATTAACAATATGGGTCTTCCATTTTTTAAAATTTTCATCACTGACACAGAAACAGAATGGTTCTGTGCAAATCTGCTGATGATTCTAAATTGGATGATTGGCAAATGATTGCATCAGTCTCCAAAATGACACTGAGTACCCGAGAAATGGCTGGACAAATAGTAGATGCAATTTAACACTGATAAATGGGAAATAGAATAAGGGTTCTAATCTAAGATGAAGGGTAAAACACTCAGTGGAGTTGAGGAGCAGAGGGATCTTGGTGTTCAAATACATAAATTACTAAAAGCAGGATTGGAGTTCAAAAATCAAAGCAAGAAGGAAAATGGGATTTATAAATCATGTCATTGAATGTAAAAGTAACAACAATAACAAAATTACATTTGTAAAGCGCCTTTCATGTCAGGAGGATGTCCCAAGGCGCTGGACAGACAGAGTTATGGACCTGAGCTGAGGGTCGGGGTTGGGGAGGGGGAGGGCAAGGAGGGAAGCAGGGAGATCGAAAGCATGGTCAAGGAGGAGGGTCTTAAGGTGGGTCTTGAAGGTGGCGAAGGAGGGGGCGAGACGGAGGGACTGCGGGATGGAGTTCTAATATTCACTGATAGTGGGGTGAGCAAGGCGGGGGACGTGAAGCAGGCTGAGCTGAGAGAGTGAACAGGATGGTAGGGGATTAGGAGGTTGCTGAGGTAGAGGAGAGCAAGACCGTGAAGGGCTTTGAAGGTGAGGACCAGGATCTTGAACTGTATCCTCTGTGTGATGGGAAGCCAGTGGAATTGGGCAAGGATGGAGTTGATAGGGTCGCGGAGCCGAGGGCGGGAGAGGACATGGGCTGCAGAGTTCTGGATGCTCTGCAGTCTATGGAGGGAGGCGTTGGGGAGGCTGACAAGCAGTGAGTTTGCATAGTCGAGCCTCGATGTAATGAAAGCATGCATGAGGGTTTTGGTGGCCTGCGGTGTGAGACAATGTCGGAGCCGGGCGACGTTGCGTAGGTGGGGGAAGGCAAAGCAGGTCATGGTGCAGATGTGGGGTAGAAAGGATAGGTGAAGGTCAAACAATTGTTATTATAGTACACTCCTGATAACAAGACCCTGGCTTAACCTATGAATAACACTTAAGTCACCAGACTGTCAATATCCTGGCTACTTCCATGCAAAATATTAATTCGGGACTCTGCTTTACTTGTCACTCCACCTAACACATAATTAGTTGCATTCTAGAAATTCTTGTAAGTACTAACAATGTAAAATTGATCACATTACTAGTCCTATAAGATGGCGTCTTGCATCGCAGAGGGCCTCCCACCCACCCTGTGACTGATGTGGGTGGTTGGTAGAGGTTGGGTGGACATGCTCAGATACATCGTAGAGGCCTATGGTTTATTGGAGGACTTGTTTATTAATGTGCCTCCAGCTCCTCCTCACAACCTATCCTATGACATGATAGGGCTGGAGGCCACGGTGAGACCTTGCAATAGACCAGAGGCATCTGCAACAGCATGCGCATCCAAACTCTGTCAAGCGCCCGCACCAATTACAGCGCTCCCTTGTGGCCCTGGAGGACCTATGGCTAACTAGTCATTCCGGATTACTAGTCGCTGAGATAATTAACAAATGACGAAGGGAGAGATTAAAAAGAATTTCTTCACTCAATGTGAAATCCATTACCACAAACATCTCTGGAATTTCCATGTAAAGGTGGGATGCATGGAACTCTCAGTTTGGATTAGATGCTCTAAAGCATGATATTTTGTTTGGTGGAGTGACAAGTAAAGCAGAGTCCCGAATTAATATTTTGTTTCCGCATGATAGGTTTCCGCATTTGTCAGACACCCGGTTGACCAAAAAAAATTGATTACCAAAAGTGATTGTTGAGGTTGGATTGCTGGAACAATTCAGAAGGGAACAGGATAAGCACCTTAGCAGTAAGAATATTAAGAAATATGGAGATAAAGGGGAAAGTGGGATTAATAATAAGGGGAAAATACAGGTTGCTGTGGCACAGATATGATGGGTAGAATGGCTTTTTTCTGTACCTTAAAGGTCTATGATTGTTTGTATGATTGCACAACTTTGTATATTTGTGCAACAAAATCCAAGGTGACATATCCTGAAACCCATGATTATAAGATCAATCATTGATTGGTGCTGTGTCTGCATAGCACAAAGCCTGATGACAGTCCTGGCTCTTAGTTAAAGGTACATGCAGCACTTTAGCAAGCCGATATTTGCCTTTCCGAAAGATACACATTTATTGGGTAGGGCGAAATGTTGGGCAAGTTTCCTTACTCCACTCATCTCTGTTTACCTAGCAGTAAATAGGAACCTGGCTGGCAGTCGATTGGACTAATAGTCACTTTCCCTTCAAAATAAATAAATAATAATAATAATTCGGTCACTCAATCCATAACTGTTTGAGGGACACTGCTTTACACAATTGGCTGCTGTGTTTTAGCCATAAAATATACAGTCAATTTACTTTACAGTATATTCTGTGAAGCGCTTTGAGATGTCTTAAAGCCTTGATAAGGTTCTATATCAAATGCAAGGTTTATTATTAGTATTTATTTAAAGAGATTTTTTAACTGAAATTTGTAGGAAGGAATATCATCCTATTTTAATATTGCTTTAGTAAATACTTTATTTTCCATGACAAGCAGATCCCGAAAGTTAATGATCTATTAACAACTTCTGATCAAAACACTACTACCAACAAACTATGACTTATTGTAAGGCAAAATGTAGTTTGACCCTTTGTTGGTGGTTTGAACTCTCTAGTTTTCTCAGTCAATTAAAAAGTGTTCACGTGAAAGAGACCCAGAGCAGTCATTGAAAGCAAACAGTATGTACACAAAGTGCATGAAGTCAATATATTATCTGTGCAACATGGATGCCTCTAATTCACAGGATCAAGTTAAACTAATTATCTACAGAAGAAAATAAAAATATTATTTTTAACAGGACAAAATCAGCCTCATATACAGAAGATGCTTTATGCTATTTGAATCAAAAACTTGAATCTATTTGATAAAATATTTGAAACTGAATATAACACAACTCATGCCATATATACAGTAGTTGGATGTTTTTGTGCTAATGTGAATTTAAAAAAAAGTTTTTCATTTGATATGTTGGGTAGCCAGACTACTTAATTCACAAATTTGATAGCCCGTCAAAATGAGTGATATAAATGAGTCTATCTTTCTGTTCATTCTCTATAGTCACACTTCAAGATGGTAATGGTCCAAACCTAGAAAAGACGTGATAGATTACAAAATTTACTGAATCTGCTTTGATTCAGCTCACACTACAGAAGGTTTTTACCATGAGATAAGAGTAAATATTCACCATCGCGTGTTAAGAATCGGCAGCCAACCAATCTCTGAATGTCTGAGATTCAAAAACCTACCTAATTGGTAAGTAGCTATTGGGAATTTCAACTTCAGGATGAAACAAGTTAATTATGATAAGACATGAGGAAGTAATTTCCTAATCCACCGCTTGGAGAAGAAAAGGACACTGCATTCACTTGGAAGGGAGAGAGCTCCACAGATTTAGTTTTTTTTTTAAACGGAAACAAATGTAATCTTCACAGATCTATGAAGTTAGCATTTCGCGCTCAGTGCTGTGTTGGGTACCAACCTGATACGTTTAGCTCTCATTTACAGCAAAGAAAAACAACTTGCATTTATATAGCACCCTTCACGTAGGGTAGTGTCCCGGAGAGTTTCACAGTGGTGGAGTCTGACAATGAGCCAAGGGAAGAGGGAGGGGGGAGGTGACCATAAGCACAATTGAAAAGGAAGATCTTTGGGCAGGATTTGAATGTGGAGAGGGAGGGGGCAAGGCGGAGGGATCGAAGGAGAGAGTTCCAGAGTTTTGGGATGTAGTGGATGAACATAGTGGTTGCATGGCCACCGATGGTGGAGTGGAGGATACAAGCCGAGTAAGGCAGCGGGTGGTGGAGTGAGGGGTAAGCAGGTCAGATAGATAGGGAGGTGCAAGGGATTTAAGTGATTTGGAAACGAGTGAGAGGATCTTGAAATCTATCCTTTTGGGAGCCAATGGAGCCTGGCAAGAACTGGAGTCATGGGGGTACAGAGTTTTGTGCAGGTGAGTATCTGGGCGGCAGAGTTTTGAATTAATTGGATTTTGTGTATGGTGGAGCTGGGGAGAGAACACACAACAACAACAACAAGATTGCATTTATAGACCGCCTTTCACGTCGGGAGGACGTCCCAAGGCGATGGACAGCTGGGTCGGGACCTGAGCAGGGGGGAAATGGTCAGGGTGAGGGGAGGGAAGGGAGGGAGCGAGGATGGGGTAGAGAGTCGAGAGGGGAGCTGAAGGCACGGTTAAAGAGAACATATCAAGTAAATTTAACCTGTGCAGCATTGTTAACAAGAAGTCGTGCCGAGGCACTCCCAGATTTTGGGACTCCCTCACTTCCTAAATCACATCAGCGATTGACCCAATTACATCTATGATTGGTCCTGTCATTATTTATTCTTTTCCTTTTCATTGACTGCAAAGCCAATATATAAAGCTGAGTTTCCAGCCAAAGTAAAATACTTTTGAATGAAAAAATTCTCTTGCCTCTAACAGTAGCAGTTGATAGAAAGACACTGAAAAATAAATGATTAATTTCTAAATTGTAAATGAATAAAAGAAAGTAGGCAGTAAGTTGTAAAATTAAGGCTAAAATTAAAAATAGGATGTAGAGAGAATAGAGAAAGATAAAGCGTTGACACAGTGAGCAAAGATAAAGGTTTATAGAGGCTTTATTATGAATTTAACTTTTTTTTGTGGTATGAGATTTTATATTAAAGTAATACAGCTAATCCTTATGTTTGAGTTACTTTATTGCTGTAATGTTAGCAGAAAATGTACACAACCAGTCAACCAAGAGATAGGAGTCTCTGTAGACCTGTTGGCAGTGTGAGGGTTAATTTGGTCCAGTTTCATCAGCTGTTAGATAACAGTAGCACAGAGAATAGTGATTAAAAGATTTAAATGGACACACATATCTAACTTAATCTTGGGTCTGATTATTTCATTGTACTACTCTTTATTCAGCTGCATGTCAAAACTACACACAAACCGATTACAAAAATAATTTTAGTTCAATAAACAAATACTACACAAACCTTCTGGCCCTAACTGAATAGGCCAGTACCTGCTACTAACCCACATGTAGCAACAAGTGACTTAAGCTAAAAGCAAGATTAAAAAGAAGTTCCAGTATAACATGCAACTTGCATCATAACTTGAACTGCAACATGCATCCATAGTTTATACACACTGCAAGAAAAGGACACCTCGGGCCGGTTAAAATCACTAGTCTGAATCTTCTACTCCAACATAACAGTTACCAGTTATCCAAAATAACATGCTTGGTAACTTATTTTAGTGAGATGCAAGAAATTAAATCAAAGAGATCACACAAATAAATCCAATTAAAAATATATTAAACAATAACATGGGTGCTTTGGTTTTATTTCTCTAATTAGTACAATTATTAAGAAATATTAAGGTATTTTCTTTTAATTATTTTTTTATGCTCATCAAATGTTAAGGATATGAGGAATGAAGACATCTGTTACCAAAAATCTAGCATAATTTACTCCTTGGATACAGATGCAGTGAAATGCCCTCTCTGCCCCCAAATGTGTTTTAACTCAGCATTCCTCCTTGCAGCTATGCATCATTTCCAATACCTATACCATTCCGTGTTGCCTCATTTAATTGCTAATTTAGTGTTGATTTGCAGGCAAATTTCAGATTAACCTGTGAACCACAACCCACTAGAAACTGGGTTGAGACTTCAAACTCATTTAACATTGGACCCTCTCAGTTGGGAGAGAGAGACTTTCATTCTATCCATTGAGGTTAAATTGGAACATGAATTTCAGAGGAAGTCACCCACTCCCTGTGTATTTTAACAATTTGTCACAGAGGTAAGTAATTAAGTAGGCACAGTAAATGGTCTTCAAAGTGCTTTCACAATGGACTTGTACATATATAATGAAGCAACATTTATAGAACAGTAACATTGGCTACTGATGTAATCTGAAGTCTCATGAGGCCATGTGTTTAAGAACAGCTTGCTCTGTAATGGCAAGATAGTAGATATGGAATTTTGGAAGGATGATACCAAATGGGCAAAGGGACTTCTTTATCCAATCCTTTCTCATGTTCTGTAAAGCTCAGATTACACCATTGGATTCTGTTGGCTGTAATGCACCTCTGCCCAAACAGAACCCATGATTAAAAAATAGTTATGGGAAGTACAGGCCAAGGTGCTGACATTGTGTGAATATAAGAACTTATTGATACCAGAGCCTCGGATGTATTCACAAACACCCCATCTCCAACGGGCAGACCTAGTCATTTACCTATAACTGTACTCAGTCAGGCCACCAGTGTTTTGAGGAAACCGAATAACATTGTAGCTGCCAAATTCTGTCAGTTTGTATAAATACATCAAAGGGTTGCTTTTTTTTACTGGATTTAACTACTTACAACAAAAAAGGTTATATTGTTTACTACAGGTCATGCTCATTATTTACACAATTACAACTCTAGGTTATTGCTTCATTCCCTCTTTCATATTGAGTTTTCTCGAACATTAGTCACAACCCTCAATGCAACATAATGATTGTCCAGTTCTATTCATTGCATGTTACAAGCTTCNTTTTTTTATATACAGTTCACCCTTAATACCAATACACAATTTTGACATGAAAACAAAACAGCTCCAAAGATACAAAATCCACTACTAGGAAAAACAAAGAAACCATTGGAATGGAACTTGCTCCTTGTGTCAGGAATCCATGCAGCAACATTCTCTGTTCATGAGGCAAATCACACTTCATGGGGTTGGATGAGGTGTAGAATCACTCCTAAAAGAACCATCTGAATGCCTCTCCTCCACCAGGGATTATTACCTTCTGTAAAAGTAAATGGAAGAAAAAGAAACAATATTAATTAGCACTGTATGAAGGCAAAAGAAACCCAATGAAAGTCATACTAAAAACTGTTTTAGATTGGTGCTTTTCAAGTCTCATTTTACCCCTTCTTGTTTTTCTCTATTTCCTAATTGTAGGCCTAAAATGACCACATAAGATAACAGTGTGCATTTATATAATTCCCTTTACGTAGGATAAGGTCTTGGAGTGCTTCACAAGTGCTTTGTGTTGAACAACGAGCAAGGGAAGGTAACTATAGGCAAGAGTAAAGAGGTGGGTTTTCTAGGTGGGATTTAAAGATGGAGGGGACTGGAAGAAGGGGTAGAGGGGGTGATGTTCCAGAGGGTGGGGCATCATTTCTGAAAGCTCCGCTGCCATGGTAAAAGCAGAGATGGTGGCGGACGTGCAGAGGAGTGGAAAAGTTGAAGACCACAGGTAGGGAGTGCTAGAACATGAAGTGATATATATTTGAGGCTGAGCACCTTGAAATCATCCTTTGGGAGATAGGGAGATGGTGTAGCCTAGTGAGGACTGGGGAGGTGAGCATTCAGAATTTGGTGCAAGTGAGAATGTGAGTGATGGAGGTTTGTATGAGCTGGAGCTGGCTCATGATGGAAGTCGTGAGACTGGAGAGGAATGTGTTTCAGAAACCGAGTCAGGGAGTTACAGAAGCATCAATGAGGTTTTAGCAGTGTTCTGCGTGAGACAGGTATAGAGGTGGGTGATGTGGTGATAATGAAGAAAAGCAGTCTTGGACAGAGACCGAATGTTAGAAAGAGGAAAATTAAACAGAATGCAGTTCTAAAATAGGACCAGCTTTCACATGAAGACTAAATTTAAGAATTTTCAATTAATCTTCAAAATCTTACAATTTAGGGAAAATAGGCTTATTGACTAAGACTATGATGATTTTTAGGCCTCGTAAGATGCATTGGCTTATAATCTTGCTGGGCAATGTTGCCAGTGTCTGTATGGACACTGTCTGAATTCCAGTACAGCCTCAGTCATGACCATCTGGACCCAGAAGCTTGGCCTTCACCAGGTGTCAGCCTGGTTCCATTGGTAGCACTCTTCTCTTTGATCCAGAATGTTATGGATTCAAGCCCTACAATGGGACTTTGAACTTGGTAGGTTGACACTGGAATGCAGTACTGGGGGTGTGCTGCATTGTTTGAGATGCCGTCCTTCAGACGAGATGTTAAACTGAGGTCACGTTAGCCTGTTCAAATGGACATTAAAAATCCTGTGTCACTATTCAAAAAGAGTTTATCCCAGGGTCCTGGCCAACAATCCCCCACATAAAATTAGTCATTCACTTCATAGCTGTCTGTGGGACATTGCTGCACTGCATTTGCCTACAGATACACAATCACTTTGCTTTACAGAAGTCCTGTGAAACAATTTGAGGCATCTCAAGCTCGTGATAAGATGCTTTACCAAATCTGAGGATTATGATATTATTGTCATCTATACATTACTCCAGCTTCTCTCATTGGCATCCATTTCCCAGTGAAGTCAGCATTTATTTATGGCCAACATGTCAAGGCAGCAGTTATCATTGCACTGAAGTTGTTGAAACTGCCTCAGAATCTCACTGTGGTAGTATCTTCTAATTGGCCCTGGTACCACCATCAAATATTGACCATTCCAGAGCCTAGCACCAGAGTGCGTGATGGAGTAATCGCTGGAGTTTAACCAGCTAAAACCACATAGATTGCCATTGATATTCCTGATTTCCTGCTGCTTGGCTAGCTTGGACTACTCGCTCTGTTAGGGCTTTGGCTTGCAGGATTAACAGGAGCTGAGTGATCCATTGGGGGATGATCCCCTGCCCCTGGACTACCTGGACAGTCACAGAAGGCTGGCCGGATTCCGACATTCTGTTACCAAGCATGTGACCTTGGAGCCAGACCAACTCCAAGGAGACCCCACTTACCTCTCCCGCCCCCACACCCCCCTCTCCCACCCCACCCCCAGGAGGATAGTCACAGGTTGGTCATTCAACATCAAACAAGCGTGGGTTCAGGCCTCACTAGGTGGAGGCAGGTACCTTTGAGCTTCTTGGTGGGCAACACAGCTCAGCATGAAATGTGTGAGAGCATTGCCACCATCTTTCTTAAAGTGACAACACTTTGGAGATACTAGTGCTACTGAATACTGCCCATAAAAGTAAAATGTCACCCTGCAAACAATTCTAACAATTCTCTTGACATTGTCAGTTTGTCTCTCTCTTGTCTCAGAGTCAGAAGGGAGTGGGTTCAAGCACGATCTCACAACTTTGAATTCACAGTGTAATTTGGTACTCCAGATCTGCATCACCAGTGCTAATATTATTTCTTCTTGAAGTTGATTTCTTATCCTCCTTTCTCTGATCTGTGCGCTTTACACTGGTACACACGAAACTTATTTGCCCATAAAATATACAATCCATTCACTTTACCATATATTCTGTGAAGCTCTTGGAGACATCTCGAAGACGTGATAAGGTGCTATATTAAATGCAAAGATTATTATATTATTATCTATTTCCCTGTCACTCACCCCTGCTTGTCACCTGTACTTTGGCTTCTTAAATACCTGGGTGACCGTATTTCAATACAGCCAGTGACCATGTTTCACACAGTAATAAATCTCACTGCCAGACCTGCATCTCTTCTACTCATTTGCAAAATAAACCTTCTCTTTGACGCTTCTCTATTTTTGGTTTGATTTTACTTTATTTTCAAATATGTCTTTATTCAGTCAATATTTTTAAACATTCCAAGTTTAATGCATAACATTTGGCTGAGAAATCGGGGTTAACAACTGGTTCTGAGTTGTTCTGTTCTGAGCTCCTCCTTTTCCACCCACCTCACCATCTGCCAGCTCATTTATCAAGCAGTTTCCCTCCCTTGATATGTTAGTGACATATTGCAAACTGCCGCTTTCCAGCCCCTGCAGTATGGAATCACTGCTGTGTTAAACTCCCTGCTGTTCAGTGAACAACTGCAGTGTGAATCTAAATATAGCTTCAACCTAGAAGTGCAAAAAACATACATCTGTTAGACTGGCCTCTAATGTGACACTTGAGGGTCCAAAGTAATACCCAGGACATTTGTACTTGTATTTCAAAACAATCTCACAATTCAGAAAAAAAAGTTCAGATGAATCTGTATTTGGGCTTCAATTTATCCGTTTATTTGAGCTTCCATTAGAAATTATTGATCTTAGCACTCTTTAGAGTTAAGGTAATAAATTCAACCACCTTTCTAGACATTAAAAGCACAGACGCACTGCCCTTCGTGGGTTATGTGTACTCTCCTGGCAGTAGTAGTACAGCTGAAGGACTTTCTGATAATAGCAGCTCATCAATCTGCCCCAACCCAAATCCCCTCTTTCCACAGGCCACAGTGACAGCAATCATGCCCCACGTGTCTCAGCAGCTTGGAGTTTCCCAGGCATTTACTGTACAACTTGTGATCATTCCAGCAGAGATGTAAAGATAAATTCCCAAAATGAAGTTAAAAAGTGCCTGTGACATTTTGTAAATTATTTTACTTTCCTGTCACAAAAGATCAGATCAGTCTATTTGATCTCATTCTTACAGAATACTCACCCTGCCACCTTCCCATGATAGCATCAAACTGCTACCAGGTGCCACACACAAAATTATCCATAAATGTAAAATATGACCTAAGACAAATATTGTTAGAGGAAGACTAAGTGGAGAGGATAGAAGGAATTTCTTCAATCAGAGACTTACCAGCAAGATAATTACTTTGAAACTAATTATCACATGTCGTTCTCAAAACTAAATCATAAATAAATTGGTTCATTCACTTCATGTCTATGATGGGCAACACTATTGTGGGCAAATAGACTGCTGCCTTTCACCTACAAAATACATAGTTACTACAGTGAAGAAGTTAGAACCATTAGTGGGCGGGCCTTCAGCCACTCTGCCCCCAGCCGTTGGAACTCCATCCCGGAGTCCCTCCACCTCCCTCCCTCCCTTGCCTCCTTCAAGACCTGTCTCAAGGCCCTCTGTTTTGACGGTGCCATTGGTCACCCTTCTGCCCCCCTGCTCTCCATCCTCCCCGATCCTGACCCCCAGCTCGGGTCTGAAACACTGATTGTCCTGCGCCTTGGGACGTCCTCCCGATGTGAAAGACTCTATACAAATGTCATTTTATTGTTGTTGTTGAAGAACTTTGAGACATCCTCTCAACTTGAAAATACTATATCGAATGTAATACAATATAATTTACATGTATGTTGAGTCTTTCACGTTGCAAAGACATCTGAAAGCACTTTACACAGTTATAATTATAGTATTATAAATATAGCATACGTTATCATTAAGGGATATGAGAGATAGAGAGCTGGAAAGTAGAATTAATAAAAAAAACCTTAAAAAAGTATCAGTGACAAGCTGTGTTGTAAAGGTCTTCCCACCATACTGAAGACAGAAGTCTTTTGAATAATAATTATAATCCTTGCATTTGATACAGCACCTTATATGCTGTCAAGACATCTCAAAGCGCTTCACAAGATATATTATATTTTATGGGTGAAACGCAGGAGTCAGTTGTGCACAGCAATGTCCCACAACTAGCCAGGGAGCAAGTGACCAATTTTATTTGGGGGATTTATTGGCCAGGACATTGGGAAATGCACCCTTCTCTTTTCGAATGGTGCCATGAAATCTTTAATGTCCACCTGAACAAGCATATGGGACCTCGGTTTAACTTCTCATCTGAAGGACAGTACCTCCTACAATGTAGCACTGCATTGGAGTATCAGCTTAGACTATGTGATTCCAAGTCCGACTTAGAGGCAAGAATGCTATCACTGAGCCAGGGTGACACTGAATAACTGGTGAGGAAGCTCTGAAGCTTGGGACTATAACATCTTCCATGACACCAAAATCTACTTGTCCTCCTCCAGCTGTGACTCCAAATCTGCTCATGTCCTGTCAGCTTGTTTGACAGACATCAAGGCCT